GCGACTCCCCCTCCTCTGATAGGGAGAGGCGCCCGCGCGTGGGAGCACGCAGTGGCGGGGGGGACGCAGCTGGCGAACCGCCTGTGTGTCCATGCAGTCGACGACAACACCAACAGGAAGTACGTCAAGGAGGTGCGGAGCTTCCTGCAGGACGTGAAGAGGGAGCAGGTGCCCTTCGAGACGTACGCCGAGAGGGACGCCGCGATGGCCAACTACCTGTCCTCGCTGTGCTACCTCCACCGGTCCAGCGTCGGCGTGGGCAACGCCGTCTTCTTCGGGTTTCTGCACATCTACGAGGACCATCGCGACAAGATGCCGCAGGCGGCGCGGGCCCTCAAGTCGTGGCTGAGGATGGCGGCACAGGGCGAGGGCAAGCCTTTGGCCCGCACAACGATTGCATGCATCGCGCTGTGGATGATCCAGCAAGGGAAGCTGTACGAGTCCATCCTAGTGCTGCTCTCCTTCGACTGCTGCTTGAGAGAGCAGGATTGGAGTCTCTTGCGGACGGAGGATGTTCATTTCGACGGAAGCAGTGCTAGTCTGGCGCTTGGCGTGCGAGCTCGAGGCGAGACAGTCAAGACGGGCAGCGACCAGGGCGTGGTACTGAGGTTCGGCTTCGTGATGGCCCTGTTGCGGGCGGCGAAGGACGTCGCGGGGGACGGCGACCTGATCTTCCCCCTCACCCCCGCCACCTTCCGCAAGCGGTGGTGGGAGGCCCTGGCGGCGCTGGACTTGGAGTGGTGCGGGCCTCCGCACGGTCTTCGCCATTCGGGAGCGTCTGACTACGTCGAGTGCGGCTTCACCCTCGAGGCCACGAGGCGTCGCGGGCGCTGGAGGTCGGCGGCGGCCGTGCAGAGGTATACGAAGCTACACGACCTCGTCCGACATCGGGCTCGCGCTGGCGGAGACATTGCCATGCGCGGCCAGAGCTTCTGGGATGACCCGATCAAGAGCCTGCTGGTCGCCATCGAGAGCTCGCCGAGGGCTGGCGACCAGACCCTGAGGTCCGCCATGGTGCTGCAGCTCCAGAGGAGGATCGAGATGGGATCCAGTCAGACGTTGAGCGAGGCGGCGTCCAGCACTACGGTGCAGGAGGAGCCGCGGAGGCCTGATGCGAGTGCGCGTGGCAAGCGCCAGAAGAGGAGACAGAGGTCCAAGTGAGGCGGCTGGACGCCAGACCCGAGAAATGCGTTCTCTCCAGGGCTGGTGTTTTTTCTGTGCAGGGCCCTGGGTTTGCAGCGGCCCGTGCAGGATGCCGCGTCAGCATCCAGACACGTGCACACAGCTCTTTACGGGCCTGTCGGCCCCGCTTCAGCGACCTTTGAAAAGATGAATGCGTACGTGTACTAATATTGAGGCTTCGCCTCGTTTGTCACACGGCCGGTATATAGCTGAGGCTTCGCCACGTTTGATGTGCACGCCCCTTGTATAGTTGTGGCTCGGCAGCATGCAACGTAGGGAGCTGGAGGGTGTAATGTAAGCTGGCCCCCTTCCCCTTAGAGCCCTAGAATATGAGTTTTCAAACATTCTTTCTCGGGCTCGATTTTATAGGGGTGTATTTATGGGGTGGCCGCTTCCTCTCCTCCTCCTCTCTTGATCGTCACGTTTAGTCTCCGTTTACGATCTTGGCTTGTAGCTTTTTGGGCTCCTCCTCCCACCCCTCCACCTTGCAGTTATGGATACTATCTTCTACACGTGGTGTTTTTTCTGTGCAGGGCCCTGGGTTTGCAGCGGCCCGTGCAGGATGCCGCGTCAGCATCCAGACACGTGCACACAGCTCTTTACGGGCCTGTCGGCCCCGCTTCAGCGACCTTTGAAAAGATGAATGCGTACGTGTACTAATATTGAGGCTTCGCCTCGTTTGTCACACGGCCGGTATATAGCTGAGGCTTCGCCACGTTTGATGTGCACGCCCCTTGTATAGTTGTGGCTCGGCAGCATGCAACGTAGGGAGCTGGAGGGTGTAATGTAAGCTGGCCCCCTTCCCCTTAGAGCCCTAGAACGAATGACATCAAATCCAATGTGGGCTGCCAAAGACTTGCAAAGGCCTTGCGAACGGGCGTAACAGGTAGAAAGGGGGACGGGGGTTCATGCGAAGGCGAAGTATTCTGGTTTTCGGCACATCGTGTTCCACAGGCCCTGGGGGCCTTTGTGGGGCCCTTGATGGGCTTCCTGGGGGGGTCCTGGGGCCGTTGTGGCCCGCTTGTGTGCGTCTTGGGGCTTCTTGGGAGTCTTGGGATCATGTTTTGGGGGGCGTTTGCTTCTGCAGTGCGACGGTGGCGCGCTTTTTGGGTTGCTCTTGGGACCGTCGTGGTGGCCGCTTGGGCCCTCCATGTGGGCCTCTTGGGCCGTCTTGGACTGGTCTTGGGCGCTCTTGCGACTGGGCGAGAATGTTAGCCACATGGGTTCAGCCGGTTCTGCCGACTTGGGCCAGCCCCCGTGGCCTCCACTACCGCCCGCGAGACTCCCAAGAGTGACGGCGTTAGCCGAGGTCGGCTCCCGAGGGGGGTCTTGGCTTGGCCAAAATGTCCCCGAGATCGCCCTTGCGACTTTAGAGAGGTCGGGAGGGGGAGGAGGGGGAGGAAGAGGAGGAGGAGGAAGAAGAGGAGGAGGAGGAGGAGGAGGAGGAGGAGGAGGAGGAGGAGGAGGAGGAGGAGGAGGAGGACCCTCCTCCGGGATTCCCCCCCCCTTCTGGCGGGGAAGGGATCAAAGGGATGGAGTTCCCTTCCCTTCGACCAGATTACGACCTGGGGTCGATCAACCTCGGGTTGGCGATTTTGGAGAGCCCCAGGGGGTCGCAAGGAAAGGGGGGAGAGCCTATACCTTGAAAGCGTCCCCTAGGACCACCCCAGGGCGACCACTCCAGGATTCACGCTCTCACGCGCCGACAGGGTTGTCGGTCGGCGGATTTGATCTCCGCCCTGTCTGGCAGTCAGTCAATTTGATCAGTGCGTCCTCGCCAAGTTCCGCCGCCTCTTTGCACGCACAGTGCTGTGGCCTGGACAGCTCAGAGAGGGCAACAACGAATGCAGGGTGCGTCGGATTGTGTTCCAGCATCCTAGAGGCTTCACCCATGAACCGATCGCTCCGCCAGAGCATGAGTCTATCCTTAGGTGGAGAGGGGGGAAAGGCAGTGGGGAGCTTGACATGGGATTGTCCCTGTCTGAATGCGCAGTTTCGTGCATTCAGGCTACCGCGAGACACTTCTCTTGGTGCTACGAGCCCACTTGAGCAGTCAACGATTGCCAGGACGAGGAGGGACGGCTGCCGGCTGCAGAAATCAACCGCACACAGACTTGCCATTTCGGGGTGTCTTTGCTTGTCTTGGCGGCGCGCAGAGGGGGGTAGGGGGAGGGGGGAAGGCTTCTTAGAAGCACCCCTGCTTCTCAGAAGGCGCGGGCCTTGTCTGTAAATGTAAGGCCCGCGGCTTCTGAGGAGCAGCCTCCTTCGAAGAAGCCTTCCCCCCTCCCCCTACCCCCCTCTGCGCGCCGCCAACTGTCGACCACGCAGGGACGCCCCGCGCCCTGCAGCCGCCGCGCCCGCGCGCCGCTCGATGCGTGGCGACGAGGCTGCTGCTGCACCTCCACGGGCGGAAGGGGGGCCACGGCGTGTCGGGGGCCGCGGTGCCCTGGAAAGCAGGGGCCCGCACCCGCAGCAGCAGAAGGCCTGGGGCCGCCTCGTCACCCTCCTTCTCCTCCCCCTCCCCCTCCTTCTCCGCCTCCTCCTCCTCCTCCGCCTCCTCCTCCTCCTCCTCCTCCTCCTCCGCCTCCTCTTCCTCCTCCTCCTCCTTCTCCTCCGCCTCCCCCTCCCCGTCCTCCTTCTTCTCCTCGCGCATTGGCCCGGACGCGCGCTCGCGCAGCCGTGACCGTCCGCGTGTGGAGGCTGCGCGACGGCTGGGCGTTTTTGGCGTGCGCCGGGTGCGCTGCGCTGGGTTGTGGTTCCCAAGTCCTGCACTGGGGACAATACCACGTCGTGGTTGGATGTTGCTGGAGACCGGACATTGTGGAACAATTGGGAGAAGGATGTCCTTGCGCAGAACACGCACATCTGACCGGGCCCCGGCCCGCCCGCGCCGCTCCTAAGGGGCCCGCCTGCCGGCGGACACGCACGTCTCGTCTCGTCTCGTCACGTCCCAAATCCTGCAAGACCAGACCGGCCTCAACGAGTCGTCGGATGGGGAAAGCACCAGGCATCGTGGAGGGTGGTGGGAGAAAGGTGGAGGACCCCACTACCTGGTGCCCTGTTTGAGATGTGGCACAAGCCACGTCCGTTTGTTTTGACGCTCGTCCCAGGCGCAACGTGCCCTTTTCCATAGCCGCGCAACGCAAAACAGAGGAGAAGGGAGGTAGGATGAAGAGGAAGATAAGCCTCTCCCTTTTTCTCCTCTTCCTCTTCCGTCTTCCCTGCGTGCTCCCACTTCTACCTTCTCCTTTTTCCCGTCCTGTTCTGCCGTGCCCTGGGAGTCTTCACAGGGCGAGGTCTCCATCGCCTGCCCTCGGGTCGGACTGCCTAGCTGTTTCTGGCCCTCCCTGGGCCCGCCAACGCATGCGTAGTCAGAAAGCTGCCCCCTTCATTCCTCCACCCTTCTCCCTTCACCTTCCCCCTCTCCAGCCCTTCTCCGCCGCCCCTTCCCGCCCTTCCCCCTCCCTCCTGCTCCCCCTCTTCCTCTCCTTCCCTCTCTTCCCCCCCTCACCAGCACTTTCCCCCCGACCAGTCCATGGGGTGCGTTCTGGCCCGAATCTTGGGGCGACTCCAGCTGCGGCGACGAGTTTCCGGGGGCCCCGCAGCAAAAAGCACAGCGATCAGACACACGGCGAGCCTCGGGCCTCCCCCTTCGAGCCTCGCTCGTCCTCGGAGGCCATGGCGGGCCCCCAGAGCGTCAACAGCACGCGAAAACCTCGACCCTCGAGCTTCGATCCTTCCTCCTCGAACTGCGACCCTCGACCGTGGCTGGCCGAACCTCGATTCTTCCCCTCCCATGGGGCGACCTGTGGCGCCAGGCAGCCGCAGCGGGCGCCACTCGAGCCTTGCGCCGCGGCAGGCAGGGCTCCCCCCCAGAGGAGGAGGCCGGCGGAGGATGAGGAGGTAGAGGAAGACGAAGCAGATGAGGAGGTGGATGTTCAGGTGGAGGATGACGACGAGGAGAAGGGGGGGGAGGAGGAGGAGGAGGAGGAGGAGGAGGAGGAGGAGGAGGAGGAGGAGGAGGAGGAGGAGGAGGAGGAGGAGGAGGAGGAGGAGGAGGAGGAGGAGAGGAGGAAGAGGTGAGGGGGAGGGGGAGGAGGAGCAGGAGCAGGATGAGGAGGAGGTGGAGGAGGAGGGTGTTCGCACCGACGCCACACTTGCATTGTATCGGAGGCTCGAGCTCTTATGTGCAAGGCTGCGCCAGGCTTGACTGAGAGGAGGTTGTGGTCGCCCCAACGCGCACGCTTCGAAATAATGTGATATGAGTTCCATCGCGGACAGAGCCCCCACCCTGATAAATCGATTAGTGATTTGTCCGTTTTCGGTTCTCGAGAGGGCGCCGCGGACTTCATTCTTCAGGCTCGCGCCCGCCAGGTTTGGGCCCGAGGTCGTCGTCACTAAACCACGTTTTGCTAAAGGGGGTTCTGTCCATCCCCGAAACAGTTACGTGACAACGTGTATTGCACGACAGAGTTGATCGGTGAGACTGACAATGGCGAGGAAGGCCTCGCAGCGACGATTCCAAGCGCAGAGGCACGCAGAGTCATGTCATGCAGAAGTCAAACCCCAAGGCTGATGATGAGCATCTGCGATTCGGTCATACGTGGGATTGACATGTCGTTAGGAGCACGAGAACGAAACGGTGGCCCGCTCACTTTGAAAGTTCTTCTTCGCTGCATTTTTGATCCACATCTGCTGTATTTCCTGTTGCTTGTCTTCCTAGCTCTCTGATTGCCATTTCTGCTTGGTGAGTCTTGATTAACTCCTGATCCGCCGTCACCTTTTCTTCCATCAGTTACGGCACGCGCCTCGCACGAGCACAACCGTGACGCCAGCGCCCGCCCGCCGACCGACGGACCGATGGGCCCGATGGCCGGTCGACCCCGCGACCGGCGCTGAGCGGCGCTGGCCGTAGCAGTCTGATCAGGGGCAACGATAGGGGGGGATAGGCATAGGGGGGGTTGCATCCACCCCCAATCGCCCATTGATCGCCGATAGGTGTCCGATAGCCTCAAGCTCCCACGGAACGTGCGGATTCACTATCGGAGGCCCATCGCCGATGTATCGGCGATGTATCGCCGATTTCAGGTCGAGGTTCCCCCCCTACCCCTATCCCTCCCTATCGTTGCTCCTCATCTGATGCCCGACGTCGGCCCAGGAGGAGGAGGAGGCGGAGGAGGAGAAGGAGGAGGGGCGGGGTAGGAGGATGATGATGATGATGATGATGATGATGATGATGATGATGATGATGATGATGATGATGATGATGAGGAGGAGGAGGAGGAGGAGGAGGAGGAGGAGAGGAGGAGGAGGAGGAGGAGGAGGAGGAGGAGGAGGAGGAGGAGGAGCAGCGCTTGCCGTAGCAGTCTGATGCCCGACGTCGGCCCACGCGCGCCCGCCAGCCCGCCGGTGCCCCCTCTTAAGGGAGCGGCGCACGGGGCGGGTAGGTCCGTCGGCTGCTCGGTCCCCGGGGCTGGGGGCCCGCCTCAGGGGCAGCGGCAGGGGGGGATATTCTGGGCAGCCTCGTGGAGCCTCTTGGGCTCTTGGGAGCATCTTGGGTTATGATGCTCCCACCTACTTTAGCCTTGATCGCAAGGAAGAATTTCGAGCGCCCACTGTTTCGACACTCTTTTGAGACTTTTCCGGGTGCTCGAAATTACTTCTGGGATGTGGTCCTTAAGTAGGATGGGAACAACATAAATCTTGGGGCCATCTGGGGTGCCTCTCGAGGGCCCGTTGGCGCCTCCTGGGCTCCTGTTGGGGCTCGCTTGAGGCATTCTTGGGGGCCTCGGAGGCCATCTTGGTGCCATGTTGGAGGAGACCGATCAAAGGAGGGGGGATCCTCAATTACTCAGGGTTTCTTAATAAGCGTGGGGGGGATCCCCCTGACGGGGGTCAACCTCGCCTCGTCGTCGCGCCGCGACGGGGGTCGGAGCGCCTTCGGCGCGCGGTGGCTGCCCGCGACGGGGGTCGATGTGGGGCTGTCGGCGGGGGTGACGCCCCCCCCCGACGCTTTTTATTTTTCGTCGAAAATTCCCTAGGACCGTCCTCCCTCGGTGGAGGCGCCCTCCTCTTTTGGTGGTGCAGTTGCCCACTTCCGAGCCTCCCGCCAACACCGAGGGGTGCCTCCACCAAGGGATCGGAGGCTTTCCAATCATCCTCCCTTGGTGGAGGCACCCTCTGCCTTCCAAGCCCTTGGAGATGGTCGGAATCTAGGGTCATCCTCCCTCGGTGGAGGCGCCCTCCTCTCTTGGTGCAGTTGCCCCCTTCCAATGCCTCCGACCCTCTGCCGGTCCCCCCCCCCTATCTCGGGCGATCGCAAGCATGGGCCAAGGGAGGGAGGGAGGGAGGGAGGGAGGGAGGGAGGAGGAGGAGGAGGAGGAGGAGGAGGAGGAGGAGGAGGAGGAGGAGGAGGAGGAGGATGAGGAGGATGATGATGAGATGATGATGTTGATGATGATGATGATGATGAATGATGAGGAGGAGGAGGAGGAGGAGGAGGAGGAGGAGGAGGAGGAGGAGGAGGAGGAGGAGGAGGAGGAAGGAGGAGGAGGAGGAGGAGGAGGGGGGCGTGGATCAGCGACGGGGCCCGTTTCCGTGTGGGAAACCGCGGAGCCCTCGCCGCCGAGCGAGGCGGTACTGGCCGCACTCTGCCTGCGGCGCCTCCACCCGAACTCCGTGCACCTGGCGGCCGCGCGCCAAGTCCGTGGATCGCTCGTCCATGCTTGCGCGCCCCTGGCTGTCGTTGCCCCTCGTGTGGCCGTGAGGGCGGGACCCCGACTCGCCTGCCAGCCGCCGTCGCGCGCGAGAGCGCCAGCCAGGGCTCCTCGCTGGCGCCTTCGGTGCGCTGCCCTCGATCGGCGAGGACCGGGGCCTCGCCCCCCCCGCCGTCCCGCCCGCCTCCTCCTCTCCGCCTCCTTGCCCGGGGCGGTGCTCCTCCCTCCCTCCCCTCCCTCCTCCCTCTCCCTCCTCCCTCCTCCCTCCTCCTCCTCCTCCGCCCTCCTCCTCTCCTCCTCCTCCTCCCTCCCTCCTCCCCCCTCCCCCCCTTCCTCCTTCCTCCTCTTCCTCCTCCTCCCCTCCTCCCTCCTCCTCCTCCTCTCCTCCGTCCTCCTCCCTCCTCCCTCCTCCCTCCTCCCTCCTTCCTCTCCTCCTCCTCCCTCCTCCCTCCTTCCTCCTCGAACAAGAGACGGACCAGTGGGCACCGTCAACATTCCCGCCGTCGCTTTTGGGCACAGCCGCACCGTACCCTGGACGGCTCCAGGGCGCACGGACCAGGGACGCCGCGCCGATTTTTTACATCACAGTCTCGGATTCTGTCCGGGTCTCGGACCGGGGGGTAGACGACAGGTTTGATCTCACAGCTACACATGATCGGGGGCGGAAAAGAGGGGGGTGATGATTAGGGGGGTGGATATCATGGCGTGGGCCATGATATTTCCCCAGATATCATGGCGCCTCTTCTTATTTTATTAAGTCCCTGGCCCCCCCGCTGGGCCGCGCACATGCCGCGGGTCATGATTTGTACCCCCCCCTCTTGGACCCTCCCCTCTTGGCCGCTCTCGACATGAGGATCACCAGGCGGTGGAAGCGAAGATGCATTTCTGCGGGCATCGTTCGGCCCAACAGCCAAGGCAGGGGCTCAAGGCTCCACACGGTCCTGCCAAGTTGTCGGACCCTTCAGAGCAGCAGGCTTTGCAGGGTATGATTGTACAGTGGCCCTGTGTTGATTTCGACGTTGATGCGAAAGCGAAAGAGCATGTGCAGCAGTGCGATCAGTTTGTGCGAACAGCAGTGCATCAGGCTTGAGATCAGCCAGTGGTAGGCAGCCGAGGCAGACATGGATCTCGCTTGACACGGCTTGGACATACGTACCACAGACTTGCGCAGGTGCAGTCGCATAACAGGTATAGCAGTGCTATCAGTTTGCATGCATGCTTGGGCTCTTGTCAGTGATCAAGACAAATGGGAGAAGGCCGATAACATCCATCTGCCGCCAAGGGATCCTCCGCTACATGTAGGGGCAGTGTGTGTGTGTGTGTGTTAAATTTTGCAAAAAGCGTTGGTGGACACAATGAGGTGTACACATGACCTCATCGAAGAACAGAGTCAACGAGAACAGAGCAGTGAGGTTACCCCATTGCTCTCCAATCTCCAAATGGTGCCCCAAAGTGGCCCAATTCCCCAAGGACCTCATAATGTTTGCCCCCCAGAGCCTCACCTGTGAGGAGGAGGAGGAGGAGGGGGGGGAGGAGGGGGGGGAGGAGGGGGAGGAGGAGGAGGAGGAGGAGGAGGAGGAGGAGGAGGAGGAGGAGGAGGAGGAGGAGGAGGAGGAGGAGGAGGGGGGGAGGAGGAGGAGGAGGGGGAGGAGAAGGGGGAGGAGGAGGAGGAGGAGGAGGAGGAGGAGGAGGAGGAGGAGGAGGAGGAGGAGGAGCCTCACCTGCCCCCACAGCGGCCACTCGGACCGACCTGCCAGGACGTGCGACGGGCACACTGCACGAGCTCATGGGAGCGACGGGCGCAGTTCGGGACCAGCTGCTTGCACACACGCGTGTATCATGATGGAAATAAGCACGCAGACACAAGTCATCGTCGATCCCCCAGAAAATATGGGAAACTATGGGAAGTGGGGGGGGAAGGCAGAAACCCCGAACATCTGGGAAAATCTGGGGGATCCGGTTAGTTGTGCCCACTTATCTGTGTGTCCCAGTTCCCCATTCAGCTTGCACGCACGTGCCTCACGTCAGAATGTGCACGCGCAGGGACTCGCATGGATTCTGCCAAAGGCTGGCGGGACCAATTACGTCAGCTTGGGCCAAGCATCCGCACGACCAGAGGTTTTCAAAGCATTGAGGGGCATGGGAACCTCTCCCGAAGAAACAGGCGCCGAGACCTCTGCCGACCGTCACAGGCCAGACGGGATGTCCAGCCCCATCGGCCAGACAGGCAGCCGACGCACGGCTAGTGCATTTTGGGCACGAGGAGCTGGGCGCGGTGGTGCCTGTTGAACGGATATGCCCAAACTGCTCTAAACGCGTCTGCCGATCTGCCACGCCAGAACACACGTGGCATCCCGCAGGAAGAGGCCTTCGCACCGCAGCTCCACAAGTTTGAAGATGCATGCGCGAAAACGCGGCCCTCAGCAGCAAGTCTGGACGGGCTCTGAGGAGGACTGGTGCGCAGATTCGGCGCCCAGCTCGGAGCTCTATATCACCCAGTGGTCGTCCAAGCATGCCTTCGCTTCGAAGAACTGGTGCAATGGAAGGGGGATGCTATTGGGATATCCGGAATGGCGCTGCGGACCTCTCGTGCCCCAAGCATTCTCGCTCAGTCATGGTGTCTCCGCACACCGGGAATAGGTATCGTGTGGTGTTGCGCACTCCCATCCGACTCGCATTACCACGCACGGCGAGAGACACGTTTTCTAGGGACAAAGCAGGGAGAGGATTTGACATGGCAAGCCTAGTTTTGAGGAGCTTTCAGTGGATCGCAGCAGGGCAAAGGAAACCCGCACCCTTTTTCATGGGGGACGCAGTCCAAGCATTTTGCAAGACCATCCGGCAAGTGGTCATGGCGTCCTTTTTGCCAGCAGAGAAGCTTGCGATGACTTCGAAGGCTGCCAACTCGTTCCGGGCAGCCATGCCTAGCATAATGTGGAAGGCCAGCCAGCCTACACACGCAGTGTAGAAAGCTGGTGTATCGAGGCACGCACGAGCGCTCACAGCTAAATCATACCAAGGTGCGCGTTTGTACTGTGCTGTGGCCTCTAGAGTGGCCTTCCTTGTGCTAGGGTGCATTCCTCGGTGACAGCTGAGAGACGTGGTATACATTGTTGTTATGGTGGAGTGTGTGAATGCAGAAGTACGTGTCCTACATGAGCAACAGTACGCACTTCAGGTACCTACGTATACCGACGCATCCTTCACGCGCCTGGCATGGCTCCGACATCGACATCAGCTTTTGCGATGATGGCGCCTTTGTGGCGATAAGCGCTTTTGTGGTGATCTGCTAAACCATTTCCGCAACATTATCAGCATCGCGGTCCCCGCTTTACACCTTAGGCGATGCTTAAGAAAACGTAAGTTTTCGTCCAGAGTCTCGATGATTCTTAATGTTTCAATGTAACTCCCAAGATTTTTAATAGAAATTTGAGTTTTTATTCAAGTTCTGAGACTATGAGTTTCTTAACCCATGATTTCTTAACCATTTCGCGTGGTGTACATTCAGAGGGCTCACGCTGAACATGAAGCGTGGCAATTCGGAGTGCGTGTTCCAAATTCAGGGGGGCAGGGGTCGGACAAAAAACGCAAATGGCAGTCATCATCAAGACTGACAGAGGTATAGGACAGCTTCAGGTGCACACAGCTAGACGATGCCCGCATCTTGGCATCCTTCCTGTACGAAAAGGCCTCTATATAGGGGCCAGAGGTTGCACGTCGACGCACAGCTCGCGCGCCCGTTTGGCACCCGCCCGGGAGCAGGGTGCACAGAGCCATGAGACAGTCCAAGAAGGACAGGAAGATATTTGCATATCCTGGACTCCTTGATCAATGCTTCCCAGCTGCTCAACGCTGGCACGCGGCGCGCCATCGCTCAGGCTCCGGAGAGATTTTGGCTGCCAGACATGTCTGAGGTGCGATGACGCAGCGATGGATGATGCATGTGTGCTGTTATATACATGCACAGCTATACATGCAGTTATCTACATGCTGTTATATACATGCTCAGTGCGGCGTGCAGTTATACATGCACAGCTGCGCGTGCATAGGTTACGTGTGTGTGTGACAAGGATGATGCATGTAGGTTCTGACGTACTTGGAGGTATGATAAGTATGGCGTGCCAATTGTGGGAGGTGTCCTGGTTGCATGACGCGCGTGGTGAATTGATGTGGTGATTACGTGTGACGAATGCATTGCGCGATTTACTGGACCCCCGGGAAGGATGCAGCCTTGGGAACAACTGGTTCTAAGGTCTCGCCCTGCGTGGCGGAGGTTTTTCAGCGGTGCGCTGGAAGCGCGCGCAGCGGCTGCGCGCCGACTTTCGTGCGCAGCCGGAGAAGATGCCGACTTTTTCAAGCAAGGCAGCCAGGGTGTCGTCCCGCGTCCGACCGCGCATCCAGACCGCCCAGTGCGCGCGGCGGAGGCTCGAAGTGGGCCCCACCTTGACTGCGCCTGGCGCCACAGTGGGTTTCCCGCGAGGGAGGCCCCCAGGCAGCATGTTGTTAAGCAGCGCTACGCGTTCGTGAAACGCGTTGGATTTACTGAGGGGCCGCCCAACGCGTGCCGAGCATGAGCCGCGGAGTTTCCGCGGAAGCGGCAGGCCGGGGACCGCTTCGCATTCGACCCGGCCAGTTGCTGCCTAGCATATTTTTGGAACGGACCGGAGGTGCCGCGCATGCTGGTGAAGAACTCACCGCGGCACCGCACCCGCACTGGGTGAGCTGGGGCCCCAACTGGGTCTTCGCGGAACTACATGAGGACCAGGCCAAAGAAGTGCCCCAGGACTGGATGTGCGAACTCGACGACGAGGCCCGACAACAGCTCCGACGTCAGCCACCCCTGGGCCCAGTGCGGAAGGAGGGCCCCGAGGCTAAGTCGGGCCTGTCCCTCCACAGGGGGGAGATTCGAAAATAGTCAAAAATAGTCTGGGGACTATTTTTGAGTTTTCTCGGGCATCTTGTGGCTATTCTTTGAGTATTTCCCGACATAGGCTCTGCCTAGAAGGGTTCTTACCCTGTGTGCTTAAAGGGCCGGGCAGTGCTAATCGCCCCGGGCGGTTCCCCCGGCATCCGCCCCGCGGTTCCCCCAGTTGCGCCCCCTGGGTTCACCCAGCTTAGCTTAGCTTAGCTTAGCTCAACTTAGCTTAGCTTAGCTCAGCTTAGCTCATCTCATCTTAGCTTAGCTTAGCTTAGCTTTGCCTAGCCTAGCTTCGCTTCGCTTCGCTTAGCTTAGCTTAACTTAGCTTATCTCATCTTAGCTTAGCTTAGCTTAGCTTAGCTTAGCTTGGCTTGGCTTAGCTTAGCTTAGCTTAGCTTAGCTTAGCTTAGCCTAGCCTAGCCTAGCTTAGCTTAGCTTAGCTTAGCATAGCTTAGCTTACCTTAGCTTAGCATAGCGCAGCGAAGCATCGCGCAGCGCAGCATTAGCACAGCATAGCATAGCACAGCATAGCCAAGCATATCATAGCATAGTATAGCTCAGCATAGCATAGCATATCATAGCATAGCATAGCGCAGCACAGCATAGCATAGCATATCATAGCATTGCTTAGCATAGCACAGCGCAGCATAGCATATCATAGGACAGCACAGCATAGCATAGCATAGCATAGCATAGCGCAGCATAGCATAGCATAGCATAGCATAGCATAGCGCAGCATAGCATAACCTTGCTCAATGCCAAGTCGTGCGGTGTAGACCGGATACGGAGCATTCTCAAGCACACCCAGTGAGCGAATGCGAAAACATGTTTGTGTGTGCCTGTGCGCAGGCAAAGCAAAAACAAAATCAAGCAACAACGAAAACAAAAGCAAAGCAGACACAACAGCAAACACACAAACAAAAACAAAGGCAAAGGCAAAAGCAAAGGCAAGAGCAAACACAAAGGCAATGTACAGCAAAAACAACACCTATGCGAAATTGTAGGTGTAGATGTAGACGTAGGTGTAGGTGTAGATGTGGATGTAGGTGTATATGTAGATGTAGATGTATTTATAGGTGTAGATGTAGGTGTATATGTATATGCAGATGTGAGTCTCGCTGTTGATGTTGATGCAGATGTAGATGCAGGTGTAGATGTACATGTAGCTGTCGGTGTAGATGTAGATGTTGCTTTCCTAAATGCTCCAACTCCTAGGTAGGGTCGCGCTGGGATAATTTCATTTTTCGTCGAAAATCCCCCTGTAGGGGGACAGACCCGACCTAACCCTGCGAAAGCGGCGGCAGCAGAGATGCTGGGCCACCCGGCTCCGGGAGCCCGGCCCCCCCCCCCCCCCTCTGTCCTGCCCGGGAAAGGCCAGCGCCCCCCTTCTGCCCCGCGTCCTCCTCCTCCTCCTCTTCCTCCCCCTCTCCTTCTCTCCTCTTCTCCTCCTCTCCTCCTCCTTCTGCTCCCTCTCCTTCTCTTCGGCCTCCCTCGTCCTCCTCCTCCTCCTCCTCCTCTTCCTGCTCTCCTCCTCCTCTTCCTCCCCCTCCTCCTCCTGCTCCTCCTCCTCCTCCTCCTGCTCCCTCTCCTCTTCGCCCCCCCCTCCTCCTCCTCCTCTCCTCCTCCTCCCTTCCTCCTCTCCTCCTCCCCCTCCTCCAGCCGGCTCGGCTTAAGCGCTGGCTGCCGGGTTCGCGCGCCGCCTTCCCGGGACGGCTGCGGCGCTGCCGCGCCGCCGCTGACGCCGCCCGTGCCGGCCGCCGCCGCGGCGCTGGCGAGGAGTGACGGCGGACCCCCGCGCAGCGAACGAACCGCGCGCCCTGGAGCGCGGGGATGCGGAAGCGGGGCTCTTGCGACCGGCCCCGCCGTGCGCCGCGCGGCGCTCGGGGGGCCTGGCGCCTCAGGTGGTGACCAGGTTCCCCCGTGCGCAGGCGCGGTCGGCATCGACCGTCCCCTGGGGCTCGCTCCTCCTCCGCCTCCTCCTCCTCCTCTTCCTCCTCCTCCTCCTCCTCCTCCTCCTCCTCCTCCTCCTCCTCTTCCTCCTCCTCCTCCCCCTCCTCCGCCAGCGATCCTCACGGCTGAGCAGGAACCCGCGTTCGGGGGGAGTGTGAGGCGGCCAGAGAGACGACGCAAGAGAGTCGTTCCATGGGCAGGCCGTCTCGAACTCAAAGTGTGATCTGCCACGGC